GGTTCCATTCCTGATAATTTGTTTTCTATGGTGGATAGCTGGTTCATTCCTACAAAAGGTCATATTTTTAATCTTATTCCTATTCTTATTTTATGGAATATTTGGAAAGCGCGTAATGAGGCTAAACATGATAATATTAAGATGGATGAGATGCGTATTATTGATAATGTGAAAAGGAAAATTATGAATTTGTATTCCTGTAAGGTTATTACTCACAAAACTTTTTCTAAATGTTCGAATTTGGCTGTTAAGCTGGGTATCCAGTTGAATTGTGGTAGATCTATGTATGTGGATTCTGTGGTTTATTGGTTAAAACCTCAACCCCCTTTTGTGAAACTTAATACTGACGGATCTGTTAGTTTATCTAATGCTGGGGCGGGTGGTCTTATACGTGATTTTCAGGGTGATATTTTATCTGGTTTTGCTGCTCTCGTGAACCATCTGGATGTTTTTTGGGCTGAGCTTAATGCTTTATTGATGGGGATCCAGCTTTGTTTAAAATGGGGTTTTACTGATATTTGGATTGAGGTGGACTCTAATTTGATTGTCACTAGTATTTTAGATAATTATAATGGCAATGCCCAGAATTTCTATATTATGAGGAAAATAAGAAACTTATTGAGTCTTTTGAATTTTAAGATTTCTCATATTTTTAAAGAAGGTAACGTGTGTGCTGATTGGTTGGCTAATAAGGGAGCTCACCTTGTTGATATTCTTAATTTAGATACCTCGTTTAGAGGTATGATTTCTGTGGATAAAGTTGCTTTGCCTCATATCAGGCATGGGTGATTGCTGGTTTGCTTGGGTTTTAGGTGTTATGTCTTTTTTTTTCTTTCTATTTTTTTAAACCTGTAACTGGATCTGTTATGGGTTTTCTGGGTGACACTATCTGTAGGTGTTGGTGTTGTTTGAGTTTGAATCGGTGGTGCTGGATTGTTGGGGATTGGTGGGGGTCTTTTTTTCTGTTTTTTCTGCTGATGTGGTGGTTGCCTAGAAGAGTTGGCAAAGATCTCTGTCTGTATTTCTTTATGTGGTTTGGGAATTATTTGGCTGGGTTGAAGTTTGTGAGCAATGGCTCTGTTTTCGTATATGAGCTGTTGGTTTTGCTTTGGTTCACTGGTTCTCCTGGGAGGTTGGATTGGCTGAGAAGGATTCTGTTATATTTGACTGTTTTTGGTGACTATGGGTTGCTGATATCTTTATTGAAGATCTTTTGCAGGTTTCTGAATAGGTGGAAAGGCTTGCGTTACAAGGTATGCTTTTTGGTTTTTGCTTTTTTCTTTGTACTTTTTTTTGTCAATTTTTGCAGGAGAGCGGAGCTGAAATGCTTAAAGACTTTATGGCTTATCCTTTTTTGGGTGCTGTTGCTGCACAGCCCGAAGTTAGCTTTAAATTGTTTTTGTAACTGTAGAAAGAGGATCCTCCGACTCGTAGGTTTTTTGGTTTTATTTTATTTTGTAGCTCTTTGGAGCAATAGGGAGCTGGAGGAACCTCCTAAGAACTTTGTAACCGTTTTGTTATATCAACACGTAGGCCCCTTTGTGGGTTTCAACTAAAAAAAAAAAAAACTCAAATCTTATTTTAAGTTTCAATGATTTTAATTATTATATAAATTTTATTGTAATAAACAGAATTGATTATTTTCTGTTGCATTTTGATTGTGACATTTGCATAAGTAAGAAACATTGTCTGTTAACACTATAAAATGGGCTGCTTGTTAAGATATAATACTCTATACAGGATGGTAGGCTGACGAGCTTTTCTTTAAAAATGGTTTGTGATGTTATCCCGATTTTAGCCTCTAACATATAACTGATTATACTTATGTGCAAAGAGTGATGACTTTTTATTGATTCAATGAAGCCACATGTAATGATAATTGATTAATTGAATAAATAATAATTGATATAATTGATGTCCAACTAGAAATCAATTGCGATAAAAGAAACATCATATTAAAGTTGGATGTGCTGCCTTGCTAAATCATATATTGATGCATGCACATATTGATTGCACTAATGATATTAACATATACATTAATATCATTGACAGTAGTATTTGATGCATTGATAATACATAAACGGATGATGCATAACAATAGATAAGATTGATTCATTTAGTAATCTATGAATAATTTTTTAATTATTATTTTACTGATTTATTAAATTTAATACTAATTTATAACTTTTAGATTCATTATAATAATCTTCTATTTTTATTATTGATCATTTTGAGTTTTATTGATAATATTTTGTCATTAACTACATTGATTACTATTGATTATATTAGACTAAGCATATCATATTAATTTTTTAGTCATTACATTTAAAACTTTAATGAGCTTTGAATTACAGCTGGACTTTTGAGCTCATTATATTTATTTTTAATTATTTCAGATCAAGGAATGAGTCATGACCACTTAGTGTGAGGTTGACATATATCCTCGAATTTCTTTAAATTTTATTTTATATTTTCTTTTATTCATTTATAGTCAATAATTTGTGATAGATTAGTGATTGTAGTGATCTCATGGCTAGTGTAATTGGCTTTTACATGAATAATATTAAAATATTTTGATGTATATAACTTTAGTTGCTTTCGATAATTATTATTTAAATTGATTGTTTATAGAAGGTCTGATATTATATTCTTTAAATGATAAATAGATAATTCTTTTAAATTTAATTTTAAAGCGTTACAAATTAGTATCAAAGCAATACTCTTTTTGGAAGATAAAAATTAAGTATCATACAAGACAAAGTGCTATGCCATATGAGCCACCTATTGAAACATGTATGGGATAAATTAAGTGTTATATGATGGGAGCCACCACTTGAACTTGTAGGAGATAACCTCTAGAATTTTATCTTCCTAGTGGATGATTCTATGATAAAGATGCTGACTAGAACATTAATTACTTAAGTGGAGAAGATTGTGAAATTAAACCCTTTAAGTAAAAGAAGTTAAACTCTTAAACATTGAGATACTTTTTTAGTATAATGGTTGGAATTTCATTAAGGAACTTCGCAGTTAAGCGTGTTCATCCTGGAGCAATTCTGGGATGGATGATTTACTGAAAAAATATGCCAACATGGTAAAACCGTGAGGATCTTAGGCCAAAGCAAACAATATCTTGATAGTTAAGAGTTTGGTCTCTTACATAAAAAGAGGAAGGTTCTCCTTTGAAGAGGCGGCATCATATCACGCCAAAAATCTAATTTGAAAGAATGATTTCTTTTATCATTTATTATACAATAATTAATAGTGTTATATATCTAATTTCATATATGAGTAATAAATAATAAAAATAAATTATATAATTCAAATTATCAATACACATCTATATTCGTTGACCCAAAAATAAATCATATGTACAATACTAATTAATCATATAATCACAGTATAATCTTCAATTATTGAGAGTCTAAAATAATAACTAAAATAAAAAGAATAGAACATGAAGAATCCTGATTAGTCTCACACTCATAAATCTCTTACCTAATCTGAAATTATTTAAATCACATATAATGAGCTAAACATCCCACTAGGTCATCAAAATCTTATAACTGAATTCAAAGAATGACAAAGAAGCGGTATGCTTGTCGTTAATTAATTCATAATAGTAATAATCATATGATCAAGAATCAAAGCATAAGCAGTAAAACTCACATACATTCGCAGTAGTATGGAAGTCAGTAAAATAGTAGTGGCTCAAATCCTAAATTTCCTAAATTAGTTGAATGAATAGAAATTGAAAAGATTTTAATGGATAAGATGGTGGATTATTATATTTAAAAACATAATCTAAAGAATATATTAACTGATTAATTAATTATGTTTAACATAATTTTCTAAATTATAAATAAAAAAATTGACTAAAAAAAATTCTTAATGTATTACTTAAGTCATAAATTAATAAAAAATAATAATATTTATACATAAGTTTTTAAAATCCAAAATTTATCTATCTCTACTTAAATTTAAATATTTAAAAACCAAAATATACATGAACTTAAATATTTATAATAATATCTAATCTTAAAAAAATATATTTTAATATTTATTTATAATTATTATTGCCATCTATATGTTTTTAAAATCCAAAATCAAACAACATTTCTTAATTGTTACATACTTTTTTTTTCAGGCCAGTTGCTGCATCGATTGGCTCCACGTGAGTTGAAATTATTCTGTGTGAAGTCTGAACGGGAAGAACCGTTCAGACTGTGAGAGTACATACTGCGTGTACAAAAATTTAATACACATTATGTACAAATGTGTACACAGTATGCACTCATATGTCTGGACTGTTCTTTCAATCCGAACTCTGCATAGAATAATCTCTCCCACTTGAGAGGCTAGTCGCTGGCCTATCGAGCGACAGTGATTGATTTTTTTTACAGCGTTAGGCTATTAATAAAAATTAATAATGTAATCATTTTTATAATTTATCCTATTTGAGCCTTATTCAAACAAACTTTGAATTCGAATCAATTAATTTGAATTAAATTTGCTTATGATGGACTCTAATAAGCACTTCACATCAACAAAATATGTTAATTTAATACAAAATAGAATTTTAAATATATTTCTTCAAGAAATAAAATTATGATCATATGTTTTTCAAGAAATAAAATTAGGAGCTTTTTTCTCTAATTTCAAATTTCTTCGCTATATATATATATATATAAGCCGGGCCCACTAACAATCACTTTTCACCAACGTCATTTTGTGGTTGCGTGGTATCAACTGGTCAACTCTATTGCAATGGGAATACGTTAGAGATTTTATCACCTTCCACGAGAGTATTTTTACCCTTGGCCGCCCTTGAATATTTGGAGCTTAATATACAGTTTTGGACTTTAAACCCACAAAAGTTGGGACACGTTACTCTTTTGATGAGCAAAGAATCGAACCAACTCTGTTTGACTTTCCCTTCTTCTCCTTCTAACTGTACTTACATATAGCCATATTCATGTGTTACATCTTCTTCCATTCCAACTCAGTTTGCCTTCTCCCTCCTTCAAGCCTTTTCCTCTCTCTCCCACTCTCCTTATCCTTTTCTGAAAGCTCGAAAGCCGAAGCCTAAATCTAGATATATATGGGGAGAGTTCCCTGTTGCGATAAGAATGGGCTAAAGAAAGGCCCGTGGACGCCAGAGGAAGACCAGAAGCTCATCGATTACATACAGAAGCATGGCCATGGAACCTGGAGAACCCTCCCCAAGAATGCTGGTGTGTTTTATTGTTACAAAATAGCCCATGTTCATGCAATATTTCTCCGTTTGCTGAAGGTTACGTAAAAAAAAAACCATATATATATATAAGAATGGATTAAATATGATGCATGATTATATATATGCTTAAATCAATAATTAAATTTTTATTAAATATAATTCCTCTCTAAATAAAACTCTTGGATCTGTTAATTAATTACAGGACTATAAGATTTTTGAACGTTATAGTACTGCTCCTTCTGGATCATTCAAGTTGAAATAATTTTGTAAATATTTTTAATAAAATTTTATTAAATATATAATCCTTCGTATTTTTCCTTCTTGAAAAAAAATAAAATTGTGCCGTTATTTTCTCTATAAGTTTTCTCTTCACAACACCACCTCTCCCTCAAGATTGCTGAAACCACCCACCTTCTGCAAGAATTAAATTAGTAAGAAGGAAAAAAATGCTAATTACTTTGTAGGATGGCCTACTTAATATTTGTTTTTGACTAAACAAAAGAAGATCTGTCTTTCTGTAGGTCTAGCACGGTGTGGGAAGAGCTGCAGGCTCCGATGGGCGAATTATCTTCGACCAGATATAAAGAGAGGAAGGTTCTCCTTTGAAGAGGAAGAGACCATCATCCAATTGCACAGTGTCTTAGGCAACAAGTAAGAATAACGAGCATTTGCCAATACATAAATGTTGCTCTAACATGCCTTTTTTATTACTAGAGCTAGCTAACGGTTCTTTTTTTTACTGATCAGATGGTCTGCAGTTGCTGCGCATTTGCCTGGAAGAACTGATAATGAGATAAAGAATTACTGGAACACCCATATCAAGAAGAGGCTTCTTCGCTCAGGAATCGACCCTGTGACGCATAGACCCAGGCTCGATCTCCTCAACTTATCTTCCCTTCTCAATACGGTGCTTTTCAATCAGCCAGCTCGGCTCGATGCGTTGAGATTGCTTGATATCAAGCCTCAACTAAACACTCATGAGTTACTGAGGATTGCTATCAATCTCATGCACCAAAAGCAAAACTTGTTCAAACACAATCAGGTTCAAGAATCACAGCCAAATTATTACCAAACGATATCGCAACAACTTCCATCATCTTTACTTTATAACCCAGCTCAGTTCATAAATGCAAGTCCATGGCAGTACAACGAAGTAAACTCTTTCAATTTGAGTGAAAATTTAATGGCAGCTAATAGTAAAGCTAATAATGGGAACATGGAGCAGCCAATGTCTAGTTTGTTATATGAGGCCTCCAATGGTGAGTTCTCTTGCGAGCAGAACTTATACAATAATCTTGATACAAAACTATCGAGGCCTGTGCCGAGCATGACTTCGAACAACTCTTCTACAACCATCAACAACAGTAAAGAAGATGAGAAAGATAGTTACTGTAGCAACTTATTTGATTTCCATACTCCTGACTTGCTGGATGCGAGTCAGTTCATATGAAAGTTAAAAACAGGAAGATTAGAAAACTGAGGGAACATAAAAAAGAAAAAAAAAGTTCTGGGAAGTTATCTTGTTAAGCCCTTATGTTCATATTATGTAGGGCCTGGAATTGTGTTTCCTTTTTTTTTTCTCTCTGTAATGAGTATTTTGTCTTTGTGCAATTAGGTGCTTATAAATGTATCATATATATAGTTGCATAATGAGAAGCAGCTTTTTTTTTTCTTATGACTAACAAGATAACGTACAGCTTCAGTAAAGACTCATTAATACACGCTACAAATATGTGGCCAAGCTTCAACAAGAAGATTTATAAGGAAAAAAGGGGCCAAAGATAATAAAAGAATTTGCATGATACATCATAAGGAAGCAGCAAGCGGCCTTGTTTAAATCGATTGCCAGTTTTTCACAACTGTTTGATAAAATTGTTTCCTTACTTTCGGTAGTCCCAGAAAGAGATGAATAAAATTCAAATGAGACGTTTTGGATAATACTAATTTATCTTAATTATTTGTTAAGATAATTATAGGCTCAAAATTTTCTTACAAATTTGATATTCCATGCGAATTAGACTCGGAAGTAATTTGAACCTATTTTTTGACTGATATTCACATGTTTAATCCTTTAAATACAAATCCAAAAAGAGAAATTTTTTCCATGATCCTATCGTGAGCTGCTTGAGGGATTATTGTATTGTTTGTGGGAATTTTGGGTTGCTGTTGGAGAAATATTAATTAATGACCAAACAAATAGTAATGAAAAATAGAAGAAATATGTGAGAGAGAGAGAGAGAGAGAATAAAGTTAAAAAAAAAAAAGAAGAAGAAGGAAGAAGATCACAAATATCTCTAATTTTTGGCAAGGTGAATTGTTTAATGCCGAGTAAGTACATGATGTCTCTACAAAAATAAATGGGTATTGTCGAATGTAAGTTCAATGGTAAATTTTGTTTTGAACGAGGAAAACTGCTCAAGGTTCCATAGTATTTCTTTGTCAAGTTTCTTACTTTGTTGTTTGATTCTTTATAATTATATTCTTTGAACACTACGAGGAAAGTCAGTTATTACTGTCAAAATTATAGAAAAAATTGATTTCCGGCATATTTTTCATCGATAAAGTTCACTAAATTCTGACAAAAAATTTATTAAAAATTTCACTTGTTGCCTGAATAAGTTCAGGCACACGATGGCTTCCCTCTTTCTCAAAATTTTCCACTAACCACTCTCATCTCTCTCTCCGCTTTCTTGTGATTTTCAATCGTGACCCCCCTCCTCTCTATTTCTAATGACGAGCAATCCGTGCGCAAATGGTTTAAACGATATTCTCTTTCACCCGACCTCAAGTCTCCCATCCTTTTTCTCTCTTCTTATCAGAGGGTATGACGATTTTTCTTTCTTTAAGTTTAAATATTTAGATTTATGTGTGTACATAATTTTTATTCTAATTTTTCAATCTTTTTTTTTTGTATTTTGGAAATAATGTTATATAAACTTATAATTTGAATTTTAATTATTTAGATTTATATGTTTGCATTCTTTATAGTAAAATAAAATTCATGTCTTCATGTTTTCTTGTCATAGATATCAAATTCATACACACAATCATGTTTCAACATTCATAATAGTTGAGAGAATGTGTAATGCCTTAGTTTTAAAAGAGACACACATAAAAGAGAGTTTTGCAAGAGAAACTAGAGCTTTTAGGTGAAAATTAAAGGAGGGAAAAAATCATGAGATATTGTCCAATTGAAAAGATCTAATGTTCATGCAAAAAATTTATTAGTCCGCACTTTCTCCCAATTGGAGAAGATGAGAGTAATGGTGTTTGCAAACTTGAAAACACTAGCTTGGTCTAATCTGTTTGTTGTAGAGTTTGCTAGAGAAGTAGTGAAAGGTGATGATATAGTTAGGAGACGAGGTTGACCAAAAATAACCAGGCGAACGATGGTCATGAAATAGTTGTTGAACAACAAAGGTCGGTAGATTATAGTGAGGTAACAATGGTCGTCATTATTGATTGTTGTGTGGAGTTCTAGAGTTCTTAAATCTCTTGACGTCACTTTTAAAAGTTATAAATAAAAATTCATTCACCACATGAAAGAGACATTACATGAATTTAGAGAGAACTTAAAGAACTCAAACATTCCAAAGCTCTATTAGTTGCTCTGCATTGATGATCACTACCATTGACCATCGTCATCCAACTACTGCTACTTGATTGTCGTCGTTGTTCGACTATAATTAATTGATAATCATAGCTTATCAGCTATTGTACGTACGACCACCATCACTTGACTATTGTGGCCTATCCGTTGTTGCCCAATGACATTCATCCAACCATCATATATTTTTCAGTTGTCATTGGACTATCATTGCTAGCATCATTTGGCAATTGTCAACTAATTATCATTACCACTCTTCACCTCATTTCCAGCATCCTAGTTCCAACACGCTCATCACAAGTTAAGTTTGTGTTCAATATATTGTAATCCCGTTTTCTCCCATTGAGAGGAAAAGTTGACTATTATACTTTCAATTATATAATGTACTATTTCAACCAGGCTAGGCAACATGATTTTTTTCCAAGTTTCCAGCATAAAAATTATGGTATCTTATATATTCTTTTATTTTAACTGTATGTGTAAGGGATCTTTGTGCAAAACTAAGATGTAAATTCTACCTCCACAAATATTCTTTTACATAATTGATAGGTTATCAAAAAAATATCTTGGTCGGGCACGGATCTCGATGCAAAATCAAGTTGGAAACTTCCGAAATTAAATTTGGAACCATCCAAACTCTGATTTCAGCAAACTTACAATTAAACTGAATGTCTCGAGAATATGAACCCAAAGACACCAAATCCAACCCAATCCGAGTCCAAATGGGTCCAAAACAAGGGTTAGAAGAGGTTCAAACCACAATTTGGATTACCAAACGGTTTTCAAACATAATATTCTTATAGTCAAATCGAGTGGCTCGACGAGACGAATCCAACGAGCCTAAGATCAACAAATTCCGACATCAATAAGACATTCAAATGTCCATCAAATGGTCAATAATCAAGGGATTCAACATCAGTCGTCCATCCAACCACTCCCCATTTGCCCTATTATCTCCCACATATATATTTGCCTGTCATGCCACTCTAAAAATTTATAAATAGAGCCCCCTTTTTCTCTTAAAAAGGGAACACAAGCCAAAGGATTCAAGAGAGAGATCGGAGATCACTCTTGCCTCATTGCTCCTCCTTGACCACTGCCTGAGTTCCGTCGGACCACTGCCTGATGTCGTTGCTCCGCCGGACCACCACTTGAGGCCCTGAGCTCCGCCGCACCACCACTTGAGGCCCTGAGCTTCGCCAAACCACCACTTGAGACCCTCACCTCCGTCGGACCACCACTTGAGGCCCTAAGCTCCGCTGCACCACCACTTGAGGCCCTCACCTTCTGTGAGACCTCGTTCCCTTACTGTTCCTCTCTGACTTGGATTTTCCTCCCAGGATCGTCCGGGACGATATTGAGATCGTCCAGGACGATCTATACTGTTCAAAATACCGTCCTGAAAATAGTTCTGGGAACCGTCCAGGACGATCGATTTTGGTCTGATCGTCCCGGGACGATTTTGCGATCGGCCGGGCCGATCAGCCTAATGATATAAGAAAATCAGCTCGTTTTGAGGAGAGAGAAAATCATTTTATTAAAATCAGATATTTTGAAGAGAGAGAAAGAGAGGAAAAGTAAAGGAAATCCTGGGTTTCGGAGGCCGCGGAACGCTTTTCGTCCGACGCCGCTGTTGGGAAAAGTGAAGATCTCGTGATAAGGACTCCGAATCCTATTTATGTTTTCAAAGATATTGTGTTTCGATCGAGTTGTGCATTGTTTCGTGTTTTCGTAGTCG